TTAAACCATACGTATGTAAATGTGAAGATGGGTTTACTGTAAATGTAAATGTGAAGATACGTATTAAATTATTTACATACGTATTAATTATAAATTTTTATAAATTATTTTTGAATAATACATACGTATTATAAAATGTGAAGATGGGTTTACTGTGAAAAATTTTAAATAAAAAATGTAAAGATTCAAATAATACATACGTATTATAAATTGTTTTTGATTATAAAAATTATTTTTGATTATAAAAATTTTTATCCTTACATACGTACGTATTATAAATCAAACCATTCATAACCTAAAAATGATTTATATTTACGAAAATTATAAAAATTATATAATTAATTATTATAAATTATTATTATATATAAAAATTATATTATTTCAATGCTTGAGTGTTGTGGGTGTGGCCATTGGTGTGTGTGTCATTGTGTGGGTTGGCTTTGGTTGGTAGTAGAAACGCCAAAAAAAAAAAAAAAAAAAAAAAAAAAAAAAAAAAATTAAAATTTTTGTGTAATAGTTTCACTCTAGGAAATAGAAATAATTTTAAGTTTGTTATGATATATATTACACTTCTTCTCTTATTTACTTAATTTGAAAAAAATATTTATTTTTTGTCAAACTAATTTTAAATATTTAAAAAACAAATTTTAAAAAATGAAAGCACAAAAAGTGTAAAAATATATGTTTATATTTTTTATATTTAGTACATTTTTAAAAAAAAATTTATTGACAAATTTTATACTTTAAATATATAGATTGAATAAATTTTAAAAACTAATTAAAATATTAAAAAATTCACTAAAAATAAAATCTAGATTGAGAATCTCGGACAACAAAATTTTTAATTAATAAACCATAAAGCAGATACGATGAGTGTGGTCTTTCTTTAGGTTGACTTGGAGTCAATGGATTTGGTATAAGATTAGGTTGACTTGGAGTCAATGAAGGTTGGTATAAGAATCTTATGATGGGGTGATGGTCCCAAGCAGGGCAATCATACTCCATATGAAGTGGATATTAATTATTGACACCAATCACTGATTTCTGTGGTCCCATGTCTTATAACTCGCAACGCCCCCTTTATTTTTAGAATAGAATAGAAGAGATTGCCAGTGGAGAGAGTATTAGTAAAGAAATTATTAGCGAAAGAATTAAGAAAAATTATGTTTGTTTGATAATCGATGGATTAATAATAATTTATGTTTGTTTTGAGAGATAGGGATGAGATTTATTATGTGAAATTTTACAAATGTCCTTTTTTTCATTATTATCAAATTTTGACTTAGACTAACTAAAGAATAAATAAATTATTACCCAATGTTATTCTTTTTATTTTTTTAAATATTAAAAATCCAATTATCAAAAAAAAATTTAGTCTATATTATTTATTTATTTAATATTAATGAATCCAACTATCAATAAATTTGTAGTCAATGTTATTCTCTCTCTCTCTCTCTCTCTTTTTTAAACATTAAATAATCCAACTATCAATAAACTTGTACTCAAATTTACAAACCCTTTAAAAATAAAAATAAAAATAAAATCTTTGCAAATCTTGAGTTTGTTGGCTCAAATATCTTGATGGAATGTCCAATTTCACCTTAAAGATTTTTGAAGAAGTGATTTTTGAAGTACATGTGGTGAGGAATGATTTCTTGTAGTTGTTGCTGGTAGTATAATTGGTCATTTTGCTAGCTCTAATAAGTGTACCATACTCTTTTTACTTTGATTTCAAGTTATGTGGTGGTCAAAATTCATACAAGATGCATTTAAATCCTTGTGCTATTTAGATTTGTTTTCCTTGCCTTTTCTATTCTGGGGAAACATATAAAATAAGGCTCGCAGTAACTTAAGGAATGCCACCCAAAATTAATTTGTTTTATTAGTATCTTTGTTGTGAATGGTTTTGTGAACCTCCAGTTGAAATGAAGTAATCTCATCGTCAATAAACTAGGGGATACAATGAACCCACAGTTTTCAGAGTATTCGATATAGAGCTTCTACTGCCAAAATCTGCATATACAAAATAATTAAATAGAACTTACAAACAATATTATTAATTGGAAGCAAAAATAATACCCCCACAAGTCAAACACACCCGCACCCCAAAGAGGGCAAGATCCAATCATCAGCGGTTCAATAAAAATAAAAATACCCCATGCAAAAGAGCTGTTCAGCCAACCAAAAATCCTCTGCAGCCTGCCAACTTTTTTTTGGCAGTTCTGGAGCTGTTTTGCTACTATTTTGGGCCTGTTTTGGTCTTGAAATATATCTATTTAACATCATTTGGGCCTTCAAAGAGAAAGCTTAAATTGATATGGGTAAAACATAATATATTGCTCAATCTAATTTATCAAAAACAAAATCAAAACATAATAAATTAATCATCAAAATACAAGCTACAAGAAAACAGATTGCAGCTGTAGGAGAGAGCAGCATAAAATACAACATATTGTAGCCCAACATAGGAGCAACATATAAAGAGATTGCAAGCTACAAAAACTAGGCTTAACTAGCCTAACACAGGAGCAACATATAAACAGATTGCAGAAGTAGCAAAGAGCAGCATTAACTCAACCAAAAGACCATCATACAATATATTGCAGCAGATAAACAGATTGCAGCAGCAAACAATACCTACGTTATAATACTTATGCATCACAAAATATATTATAAATCATGTGACAAACAAAAAGGCCATCATACAGTAGATGTCACATTTAAATATGACCTCCCAATAGCAAAGAAACCCACTCCATCTTATCATTCTCATCTAAACTGAAGAACAAGTCAACTTTGTCTTCATCTTTTACTATCATTGATGCTGCCAACAATCTTTGGGTATTACTCGTTGACAACTTCAGAAGTTCTGCATTAACCAACCTCATTTGTTGGGATAGGTCATGTGAATATCCTATCCTATGAACAATCTCCACCATCGTAGTATTAGTATTCTCAATGAATGATCCAAGATTTTTTGCCATCTCTGATAGTTCAGTGGGAATCCCCTTAACAGGTCAAGCCCATTTTTTTCCCCAATTTAGTAGAGTCATCACAATTGGGAACATTACCTGCAGTAGACATTGAGTAGTCCATATCACCCATGTTCATACTAAACTGTTCAACAAGAGACTGTTCTCCTTCTTCTGTAGTTGCATTTGCATCCTCATTTTCCATGGTTGCAACTGCATCAGCAGGATCCTCAGCGAGTTCACCAGTCGCCCTATCCTTCCCAAATAGAATAAGCCAATTTTCATAGAACGGGAATGGCCTGTTTCACATCCCTTTTGCATCCGACACCCTCTACACAAGTGATTATCCAATTAGTAAAAAGAACAGATTGATTTATAAGTAAAGAGTAATGCAAATAACAACATAAAAATGAGATTTACCCTGACATAGTTTTGCCATACGTCATCATTAACAACAAGCACCATCTTTTGTTCATCATCCCAACCAAAACCACTTATCTTTAACATATCTTGAAGAGTGTTATATTATTTCTTCCACAACTTAATCTTCGAGTTGATGTGAGGACTGGCTCGAAGATCAATTCTAGGAAATGCACTTAAGATCTTCTTCTCACATTCATTGTAGAAGCCTGCCCTAAACTGATTAGTATCAAGCTTCCACCTGGGATTGCTTGCGGTTATATCTTTCACGGTTGTAATGAGGAAGAGTTCCTTACGGTGATTCCAAAACCTTTGAGGTTTCTCCTTCTCACGAGAACTAGTGGTACCAGTGTCATCCATACCTATATATATGTATATCATAAGTTTAAATCATAACACACATGTCAATCATAAATAACAAATCAACTTACACAATATTTGTTATAAATACCACACAAAAACTAAGCAAATATGGTTTGAATTGCATGCCATAATTAACTCTCACTATTACAGAAAAATCATCATATAACACTAATTTATTGACCTCTGCTTGCTTGCCATTCATTAAATATTTGGATTGCCAAGGCAGTTCTCCATTTATTCCATTGATCAGATGCTTCAACAACATCAATCATTTAATCTCCTAATTTAGTAGTTGGAGGAGGAGGATTCATTTCCTCGTTCTCATTATCATCAAGATCCATAGGCATTTCACGCTGTATGAGATTGTGGAGAAGGCAACATGCAGTGATAATACGAAATTGAGTCTTGATTGGAACGTAAGAATAAGTCCTTAATATTGCCCACCTCATTTTAAGTAGCCCAAAACACCTCTCAATGACGTCACGAGCAGAAGAGCGCCTCATGTTAAAAAACTCTTGTGAAGTTGTTGAGGCATCCCATTCTCTCCATGTGGAAAGATGGTAACGCTGTCCTCTATATGGTGCAAGAAAACCCTCCCCATTTGTGTAATCCGCATCTACGAGATAGTAGTGGCCTGTAATTATGTAAGATGGTTCCACTATGTATGTAACAAAATAATTGTTTAATATAGATATAGTGTACTTATATATATAACAATATATAATTATCATAACAGTAGGGACTTTCAACCCACTGGGTCTACTGACAGCATCTCTAAGTACCCTACAGTCAAAAGCAGATCCTTCCCATCCAAGCAAGACATATATGAATTGTATGTCTTGGGAGGCACACACCTAATACATTTGTGGCAATTTCTCCCTTTCTTGTTCTATACCTTGGTTTGTCTATTGCAGGGGCAAGAACCCTAACATAGGTTCATCTAAAGCACCAAGACAATTCTAAAAATAAATCAATATTATAAAATTAATATAGGCAATACAAAAATATAATATACTAATTAAGCAAAATTATAAATATATTGTACCTGAAAACAACTCCACCTATCATCTGTACAATAAGTAGTTATTGGTTCAGGCTTCTTAAGGAGGAGACCATGGAGGTGCAACACAGCCTTGAGAACATTATTGAAGTGCTTACTAACTGTTTGACCATTTCGCATGAAATTAAATTTAATTTTGCGGTTCTTACTATGATGTGTAAGCACATTAAAAAACATTGCTACTTGCTTATCTAAGACAACATACTTTGAATTAGACAATCCAACACTTTGCACCAACCTACATAAAAGCATGAAAGTATGCCTATTCATTCAAAGTTGGTCATGACAATTTATGTCACTATCGTTGACCAATCTATTCAAATGATCAATTTGTTTTCCATAGAGGTGAGGTGATCTAGGTAGTTGCAACTTAATTTCTTTTTTCTTGAATGCTGCATGTAAAATCACTATATACATAGCACATGTATAATTAATGGATGAAACAACATGTTGGAGGGCTACAAATTCCTCTATGAGGTCCTTTCTCCCTTTCTTAGTGGCATAGTTATTATCCATCTACAAAAAATGAATAAACAATAAGCGGCTAATTAGATTGAAGTTACTTAAAGAAATATAATAACATTTGATAATATATGTAAATAATTAATGGCAAACATCTTACAAGTTTCAGATTTAATTAACTAATAATCTTGCAAGTATGATGGCTATTTATGCCAATTAGATTTACAAGTGTGAATAGCAATTTTGGTGTCGAGCCACGGCCTCGGCCCGCATGCCTTGCTACGGCGTCGCCCAACATGCCATGCCACGGCCTCGGCCCGCATGCCTTGCTACGGCGTTGCCCAACATGCCATGCCACGGCCTCGGCCCGCGGTCGGGCTTCTTGGTCCTTCGGGGGGTGATTCGTTTTGGGGGGCTGGTGCATAGTGTACGTCGTGGCGCGTGAGTTGTGTTCGGTTTGTGCGAGTTGGACGAATCCCTGCCTGTGCAGCGAACTCCACTGCTGCTGGCTTTGGCTGGGCTGCCTTGGCCGTGGCATGGCATGCTGCTGGCCTTGGCCTTGGCATGGCATGCTGCTGGCTTTGGCTGGGCTGCCTTGGCCGTGGCATGCTATGTTGCACTAGTCATTATGACAACGACAACGACAACAACAACAATAGCAATGACAGTTGATTCAAAGCATTGAACGCTAGAACAAAATTTATTTTTGTTTCCCATATTTACAGGTAAACAAATTTCAATACATAGTTCATATAAAGGAACCAGAAGCAGAAAATTGTTCCAAGAGTCATATTAGGAATGGGTTCAATACATGGATAATGAGACACCATTACTGCACTACAACAAAAAGAGTCTGTAGAGATGAAAACTAATGACGAAAATAAATTTTGTCACGAAATACGTACCTTTTAATGAAGAAAATAATATTTTGTCTCCAAATGTACCATTTTTAGAGAGAAAACTAAAATTTCTTCACCAATCTACATACATAATAAAAAAATTAGGTGACAAAATTATTTTTCATCATTATTTATATTTTTTTGTCACCGAAGATTTTCCCGCTAATTTTTTGGGTGGTGCCAAAATTTTGAGACTTCTGGTGAGGAAAAAATTGGTCACCAATTATAAAATTATTAGTGACAAATAAATTTTCGTCACCAATAATTTTTAATATTTTGATATCATTTAGTGAGAAAACTATTTTTGTGGTCAATAATTTTGTTTTTTGGTGAGGAAATAATTTTGTCACTAAATAAATGGTTTAGTTGCTAAAGGTTTTAGAGGGGAATGAATATATTGGTGCTTGTTATGGAATTAGATATATTGGTTCTTCTCTCTCTCACACACAGATTCTATTTGACCACCAAACTTCACCCTACATCACCTCACCTCAACGCAGACCACCAATGTTACTCGTCACATGCCACCGCCGCCGCCACTGCTGCATCCTCACAGGTTCTCTCTCACTCTCGGTCCGTTTCTCTCTCACTCGCGGTTTGTCTTTCTCTCTATTTCTTGCTTTGTCTACCTTGGTCACACTCTCTCCCTCTCTGTCCCCTTTTCTCTATTTCCTCCTTTCTGAATCTTGCTCTAGGGTTGTTATGATTTCTTCAATGTAATTTGGTGTTGATTTTGAAAAATGGGTTTGGTTGAACTGGTTTGATTTGTAAAGTTTTGTGGCTTTGATGTCCTAAATGGATTTGATTTTAGTGGTTTCATACATTTTCCCCTTTTTTTTCCCTTTCTTTCTCATTAGTTTGAAAGCCCTAATCCATTGATTGTGTATGTATTTGCATGTATATTTGGTCCCTCATTGTGTATGTATTCAAAGCCCTAATCTATTGTATTGAAAAGCCTTCTTCTTGGGGGATTTTCACTCATTATTGGAAATGTTTGGTTCCATTTTTTTACCCTTTATGTAATTCTTGTACAATTCTTATTCTTTTATTTTTTTAAAGATATTGTATGTTTCTGTGAAGTTCATGGGATGGATGTAGCGACTGAATCAGTTTCTTATACAACACTGAACTAATGGAGGAAGTTACACTTAGAAGAGTTTTAACTACAGAAGGAAATTAGCAAGAGACAAAAATAAAGAACAAAATGGATCAATGTGGCAGTGACCTTGTTTTATTTTTGTGTATTACACTTTAAATAGGACCTAATATTTAAACCTATTATGCTATTCTCTTTTTTTTTTTTTTCAATGGAATTCTGTCAATTTATCTGCAAATTGGACGGAGAGTAGTTGGGTAACTATGTTCCTCAAAACCCAAATACTTGAATAATGTTCCATTTGAAGTTCTATATAGATCCTGCTTGGCTCTCATTGAAATTGCAATAAAAATACTAGTCAATAATGTCAATGCAATGAAAATACATCAATACTCTATTCAGTATTCCTCTGTTTTCTCATAGGAATTGAGATGGGAAAAGTTACAGAACACTTCAACTATATATACTTATACAAGTCACATAAACCCAGCATTATCATACAACTGATAAGATCTGCAAATTAGTCACCTATGCATATATAGCAGAAACAAATCGCTTATGACAGCACTAAAAACAGGATCTAAATCACAGAGTGTGTTTTGTTCACCTACTAGCTCGAATTAATTGTCCGTCAGATGGGTGTGCAAAATGTTACTATGCCTAGTCAGATTAATATTTTTTTTTAAATAGCCAGTGCATAATTTAATTGAGCAAATTTTCGAATTTGATTGTTGTGTAAATTCTGTGCGAAAACAGTTCAGTTTTGTATTTTTTAAAAATAGTTCATGATCTCAAAAAATTATGAAATTTTTATATGTTGTTCCCATATGAGTTTAGCATGTTGGACAAAAATTTTAGAATTATATGATGAGTATTTATTTTATGAAAATTCACGGACTGATTGGTGTTCAATTTAATTTATAGCAGAATTTGAAATTGAGAATTGGGTGTTCAGACCAGGATTTGAGATAAATTTGTTAGGACTATTTTGGTATATAATTGGGCCATGTTTGACTTATGAGTGAGACCCATGATTTAGATTTAATTTAATTTGAGTTTATTTAATGACTCATGTTTAACTGTTTTCTCCTTTTTTAATTAGGTGATTGGTAGTAACCACCTTAGAAGTTGTTATTATTTATTATATAGGATTATAATAAATATTTGATAGTTGATTTTATGGTGTGTACCATATGGTGAAAAATTATGTGTTTTATAAAGAATGAAATTGGGTATATTTTTGGTAGTGAACAAAATATTATATTTTGTGATGTACAAAAATGTTATGTTTTTGTGATGAGAAAAATTATATTATTTTATAATTTATGTTATCAAAGTTTAAAATATTTTGCAATATATTTTATATTAAGTTTTGTGATGTTATACCCATGGGAAAGCAAACCCATGTGGGGTTGTCTCCCACTCCCCTCCCATTTTTTCTTTTTCCATCAGACTTCTTCCTTTCTTCTCCATCTTTGCTTT